TTTAGTGTCAGCTTTATGTGGCATAAAAGTCCAAAGTGATTCAGATCGCAGACGTTTATCACTTCGTTATAACCGTAGTTTGTTACTGTTTATTCGTGAGATTTTGAATGAGCAAATAGGGTATTACACCTGTATTCAACTTATATCCATGGCCAGTGACATCAAATACTCTTATGGTACACATGAGAAGAGAATCGGATCTTGTGACGAATGACTAGGCTGTCAAACCGCCCTGATGACTCATGAACATTATACATGTACCACTAAGGCCGCATTCGGTTTAAATGATTACATAGAAAATCCCATATAAATCCATAAAAAGAATATTGCATTATTTTCCCGTCGATCGACCGTCAACACTCATGGCACACCTTTCCAAATAGGTGGATATGCAAAAAAATTTATTAAAAAATACAAATCTCCTAAATATTTCAGCAATTTTACAAATTGACTAGAATATCTGTCCATACATTTTATTATGATAACCATTTCAAAACATTTTGATGTTTAATTTCATCACCCAGTGACTGAAAATGATAGGATTAAAGGAAAACGAAAGTCAATGTCTATTTTGATGTTTTGAAGCCCTCAAGAACTTCGTAATACTTTTTAGTCAGTCTGTCAAATAAATAAACAGCTGTTTAAGTCAATTTTCTATTTTGTTATAGATTGCTGTTGTGAATGACATTTTACACATTAACTGTGACATAATAATAAGTAGATATAGAATAAAGCATAGTGAGTTAACTGAAGATCCGTTTTGTAAAATGTTTTACAGAATATGCCCATTGTATTTTGTTCTTTGGCGTCTTTAAATACGGTAATTATGATAAGTAAAAACAAATGGGTTAAACTACAAAGCAAGGCATGCATATAGTATCTAGTGATGGATGCAGATATGTATCATTGGAGATTGAGAAAAGACTACTGCATCAAAGAATAGGACGTGCAGCATATTATGGGAAAGGGTTGGGCTTTACTGGTTTAAAACACAACAACCGAGTCCATCCTCACACAAATGCTGAATCATTCGTTATATACTCAACACAAGAAGTTATGGATCAAATATATTTTGGGGACATATTTTTTAGTGAAGACAGATCACGCAATAGTCATGATCCCTAACTTGCTGTTCAGTTTTTGTTGTTGTTGTTTGTTTGTTGTTTAACGCCGCACTCGCCAATATTCCAGCAATAATACGGTGGTCGGTAAATAATCGAGTCTGGACCAGAAAATCCAATGATGGACATCATGAGCATCGATCCACGCAATTGTGATACGATGACATGCATCAAACCAAGTCAGCGAGCCTGACCACCCGATCCCGTTAGTCGCCTCTTTTGACAAGCACAGTCGCCTTTTACGGCAAGCATGGGTTGCTGAAGACCTGTTCTAACCCGGATCTTCGTGGGTCTGTTGTTCAGTGTGAAAACGCATCCGTGTCCTACTGTGATTGATCACACACATGTGTTCAAGTCAAACACATGAATGGCCATACCTGGCCCCAAAGATACATGCAATGAAGCCATCAATCGATCAACGTCCTTTATAAAGATGGTACAATGACGCTACCCGCCTTTTTGGGATCTCCCTGAAATATATATGATATGTAGTGTACGGTGAGGAATGGCCGCTGTCGTTTCATCATTAACTTACCACTGACTCCACATAATCAATAACAATCTATTTGAAGAAAACGTGATTGTTACTGTTTGACCCCAAGGCCTTGGTAAACACCACGTTGTTTCATTCTCAGTCTGGTATGTCTACAAGTAGACTTGGTGTTTAAAGAATGAAGCGCATCGAGACGAATGTCCCTGAATGAAATCAGCGCCTTGGTATAGAATGTGAACACTTTGCAATTGGGAATAAAGCCACCAACCCGTAGTCTCCTTGATATGTTTGTAAAGACTACCCACCATGGCCGTGAAGCCGCAAAGCAAGCAAACCTCGTATATATGTCGTGATGAAGAGTGAGAGAGTGAGTTCTGTTTAACGCCACTTTGAACAGTATTCCTGTTATGGCACGGCATGTCAGCATAATGTGAGAGGGATGCCTGGAGTGGTAGCCATGGCGAAGTGACAATTATTTGGCGATCATGGGCGTAGAACAGACTGCGGTCAGAATTAGGTAACCTAACCTATTTTCTCGTGCTTTATCAAGAATTCAAGTAAGATAGTCTTTATTGGATGTGTTTTAATGTTACACGTGTGATATGTCTGGACATGCTAACAAAACTGATTGTGTTTGACTATAAAGTGGGACTTCAGGTTGGGATCGTAATGACCATCCACCCTCAGTTGTTTCTCGTGGAAGAATTTGAAAATGAATAATTTCAACAAACAACTTTGCAGTAATTGCCATGTATGACAAAAGTGTAAAATAGGTGACGAAACTTCTTTTAAATAATTCCTACGTTATATTTAATCCAAATATATACCAGTGATGGTTTCTGCAGAATGTAGTCAGTCAATATATAGGCACCAGTGAACTCTCGGTCCAAGGATTAAGGTGAGTGGGATAACCACCGCCTGTACTGTATTGCAATCAAATGGATTTTGTTTTGTTTCAGAATCTAGGCTTTTTGGCTATACATAACATGAAACACCCAAACATATGTCTTATTTTAACGAATTTGTTTGTCTGAATGTGTAGCATTCCAAACAATTATGCTGTGGTTTCTCGCAGATGTCTTGATATAATCTGTAACGGCAAAGTAATAAAATAATACCAAGGCCACCTGTCTCCATCAGTGCTGCTTTTATGTCAGTGAAGCGCACTAAATTGGACGATAAAGAATCAGAGAGCAAGTAAGTCGAAATGTGTAATCACATTACATTGGGTGTGACACGCTGGTGTCACCTCTTACACCAGGAACAGTATGAATGTAATTACTGATAGCAATATGTTCCGTTAGAATGTCTGTATCATTTACACTTCATCATGTCATATAAGCCTTTTGATAACAATATAATTACTACTGACAGCTGCCCAATCAGTTGGCATCCACTACTACTTTCGTTTAAATGAGTAGAAGTACGCTCTCTGTAACACAAATATTTGTAGTGATAACTGTAAATAAAATATAACGGTATTTTCCTTTAACTAAACACGTTATAGCTTACAATGTGTGAGAATATATAGGCTATATTAAAGTACGACTTTCTAATTATAGATAAACAGTTTCGATAACACCTAGTAAAATATATATTCAAGTTATTGGTATTTCTTTTGCCAAACATATCCGTACCCACTTGTATAATGTCTTAATTTAATTTCATCAATATCAAATAGTCTTAAGTCCGCAAGGTACATGTATTTCCCCGACATCTCGGCATGATCCATAACATCGGGTTTGTTGCTGAACGAGGAGACGTCACGTTGGCAAACCCGTGTTTGATTCTCCAGATGACTGCTATTTGGGGAAGGAACTATGTTTGGTATCTGCCGTCGTGATGCTACTGTAATTATACAAGACAAAAAGAACGTGGAGAAACAAACATTAACTCTCAAGGAGGCAACTTGGAATGCCATCTCATAATAATTTTTATGATTGTGCTAATGTCAGGTTTAGAACTCCTATGATATTTACCAGACACATATTATTCAATATCCTCGTGTCTGAAAAACGCTCAGATGTGTATGTACGAAGTCAAATGGAGTTTGGATGAGCGTATTTTTCACTGATTTAGTTGCTACATGACATGGTTACTAAATAGTGTCCACACAGGCAATAAAGTGGAACATGTCTTCAACAACTTGCAATTAATCCTCCACGGCTGCTACGTTTCCAGGATGATTATTACGACTACCAATACAAAGTTGACATTTCCTTGGGTATTCATGGCAATGAGCCCGATTAATCTACAAATAGAAAGTAACCTGCTATAATTTTCGGTTCGCTTGCTTATCACGCCATCCTATCATTCAAAGGAAATATCAGTCTGTGGGTACTCGTAAAAACTCGGACAGTGTTGCGGATAAGAATGTAAATGCATTTTTGCTTGATGATTCGTTGGCAACTCAGTGGTGACCTACCCTTACCCATTAAGGACTTCTCGTAAAGCATGTGCTAAAAGTCACGTTAAATACCTGAAAGATAACTCATGAAGATCCATAGGTTGTAATGGTTAGTATAGCTGGTTTACTACGATTACTTGTCAAGGAAATGAGTCCTGTTTATGCGGGATTCCTCTTTTATAGCATATGGCTTTGTTTGTATTGCCTTTGCAAATGTAACGGGCCTTGTTTCCTTGTTGACAACTGTATGTTTTCAACAGGAACTGCCTCAGATCAAAGATTAGAGCTTTGCGGACGGATGTAACAAGATTCGTGAGTAAGAGAGTTGTGTTTTACGCCGCGTTTAGCAATATTCCAGCAATATCAAGGCGGAAAACCAGACATGGGCTTCACACATTGTACCCATATGTAAATCAAACCCGGGCCTTCGGCGTGACGAGCGAACGCTTTAACCACGAAACTACCCCAACGCCCGATAACCACATTAGGTCAACCTGGTACATGGCTTCAATGTTTTATGTTTTCAGTAATAAAAAAAAACCAGAATAAAAAATGAAAGGTACAAATCAATTCCTTCTCTTGCACTATGTCGCCTTTGATCCAAATGAGACAATGTTTTTGAAAGTTTTTAATGATCGTGAAGAACATGGCCATGGGAACATTAAGCCGTGGCTGACTCTAACTAATTTAGTACACATTGCACACACTATGGTCAATGTAGATGAAGGCAACATTTGCCTACTGTGGGGCTCGTTCATGTTATCTGACTGGTGGGACGTTAGAAATCTGGACATAATGAACACATGATGGTGGCATCATATTGACTTATCAAAATATGTTACAACTTTATAATTGACTAGTTAAGTAGCTCTATGTCCAGATGAAGTACCATCTTTGTCAATAGAACAGACATGTCGTTTCTATCGAAAGGTGTATTTGTCTTTGATGTATACTCTAGGTTGGTTTTGCTGTCTTACAGGTACCTTGAGAACAACGTAAGATGCCAAGACAGCGACAGGGTCAAGATGACGGGCCAACCTGACATCAACGAAGATCTAGAGAGACTTTCTACAGCTTACGGCCGTTACCATGGGTATGCCAGCTTATGTGTCTGCTTCTCGGGCATCATCACAAACATCTTCAACATCACCGTACTTACACGTAAGCACATGCGGACACCGGTCAACACCATCTTGACCGGTCTAGCAATAGCTGATGTCATCACAATGTCCTCCTACGTGCCTTTTGCTATACATTTCTACTGTGTAAACCCGACAAGTTCCAGCACACCGGAGAAAAACAGCATTCACTGGATGACGTTTCTATTGTTTCATATCAACCTGACCAATGTGACGCATACTATTTCAATATGGCTTTGTGTCAGCCTCTCCATCGTCAGATATATACACATCCGATCACCAAGTGGCGCAAGTGCTGCGCGCCTCCGCAGGATCAATCAATCCAAATATTTAGTACTTGCAGTGTACATGACCTCTACTATCGTCATGATTCCAAACTACTTGACTAATGAGATGAAGGAAAGTAAAAATCCAAACAACGAAACGAATAATACAATCTTTGTTCTGAAAAGCCTTCGCCTAGGCAGCAACGATACGGAGCCGCTTGTGTTGGTCAACGTTTGGATGTATGCTGTGTTAGCTAAGCTTGTACCATGCCTACTAATTTCCATTTTCGGAGGCCTTCTTTTATACCAAATGCATTCAAAAATTAGATTACGGAAAAGCTTCCTGAAATTCTCGGGTTCGAGTCATATCAAGCTTCAAGAACATTCCCGAACCACGAAAATGTTAATATCGGTCATTGTCCTCTTCCTCCTCACAGAGTTGCCACAGGGTGTCCTCATCATCTTGAGTGCGACCAAGATGTCCTTTTTCGAGACAGTCTATCTGCCTCTGGGTGATGTTATGGATATTGTAGCCCTTATAAACAATGCCATTAACTTTGTTCTCTATTGTTCAATGAGTACTAAATTTCGTGAAACATTCCTGCGGTTATATTGTGGCTGCAGCGTACGGAAACAAGATAGAAACGGACACGCCTTGCGGGAAAAAGCGGACACATATACTAATAATAACCAATTATGACCAAGTCGTTTCATTCTACCTTGCAATATGTGTGTGTGCCTTTGTGGGATGTTTTGTAATATTATCATGGATATATGTGCTGTATAACATGGTATGGTTGTAATTAGTAACTGTTTATTTATGGATAGCATATCTGTAATTTCGCCTCGAGTATGGTGCACAAAACACGGTGCGTCACACAATCACACCCTGTTTCTATCTGAAAAACCCAGTATGTCTTTTGGGATTGAATGAATTGTACCTTCTGACATTATTATCTGGACTTGGTTTTGTGAAACATTTCTCCAGAATGTGCGTGTTTAGTTAGTTTACAATATCTTTCAAGACATATTATGTGACATTATCTACACATGACTCTACCGATAGCATTCTGAGAAAGAAATTATTTACAAGAGATAGTATTTAACCTTTTTTTTTACCGTAAGGCCACAGTAAATTGATTATTCGTTAGTTGTTTTTTCATTATGCGCATTGATGTTATTGGTCGCGATTTCTTCTTTAATGAACACTTTCCTTTTATTGACCTACGAGGCTTGCAGAATAAATGTATAGTGTCAAAAAAGAATTGTGTGTAGGATTTCAATACAGTACATGATCAACTGCTGATAAAAAACTAGTATCGCTCAAGAGAAAATATCAAAATCACTCGTTCTGCGGCACATTATTAGCAAAATACATTTACATCAACCTGTGCTGAAGTAAGCAGGCCGAAAACAATCACATTAGCGCGGCATATTATTATCAAGTTAATATATGTATGTTTATATGGACCATATACATAAAGTAAAAGTTTGTATTTGGCTGTTGTCAAATTGTTATACTGTTTGATCTAGCTTTTACAACTTTAAACTAATTCTGTTTATAAAATCAAGATTTTCAACAATTACAGTGTATTGAAATATTCTGAATGACAGACTATTTTCATCACTTTATCGATCGTCCGTAACGGTTACTTCCATCATTTCGGAAAATGATTGAAGGCTAAAATTACAATTTGTCATAAAACCTACTTGTGAAAATACTTTAAAAATAGTTTTAATGTTTTGTGTGCAGCCTTCAATCTGTTTGACATTTCATATTATTATGTTTGTATCAAAGGTCCGCTGCTAAGTGAACTTCTATTGGTCCTTGTGCTGGTACAAGCAAAGAATCTCAGTTGGCCTCTTGATACCCTATGTTCATGGTTTGTAAATGGCTGTTGTTACGCTATCGACGAGTGAAAATATATTTTATATAAACTTATATTCTTAAAATCTTTCTCAAAATCTTGATCATTTATTCATAACAAACGAATGTTCTACGTTTGATGCACGAATTCATATTTGAGATAACTTCGAAAATTGACACCGACCAAGTCTTCCTTTATCCTCTTATACTATGACGTTGCTCATAATATCATCACTAGTTTGTTTGGTCCAGATTATGGCCGCGTTAGATATTTAATTACGGCCACCAGACGTAAGTAGACGCAGTTCGCAGTGGCATCCCTTATTCGTGCTGGTGTAAGTTAATCATGGGTCGACTTCGTCTTGATTATGATATGATCTTTGGTCAGTTGCTTTCGTGAAAGAGGCTTACGTCTGTGACCTGGGTTACTTTAACTGAATGGTTAAAATACAGCTAACGTAAAACTCGGGTTACGCTCACGTTAGGGGCGGTCGGGTAGCCTAGTGGTTTAAGCGTTCGCTCGTCACGCCGAAGACCCGGGGTCGATTCCCGACATGGGTACAATGTGTGAAGCCCATTTCTGGTGTCCCCCGCCGTGATATTGCTGGAATATTGCTAAAAGCGGCGTAAAACCAGAATCACTCACTCACACACGTTAGAAGCAATATTCGTAAGCGTGGTTGACTCAGCATCTATTTATGTAATGCAGATGTTAAACTATGAAACGAATATTTATTTCATCTCTAACATTAAAACAGAGGAGGTCTACTGTAGGAAAGATCCACACTGCTTACAAATCCTCCTGGAAGAAATACGTGTAATGCCAGTGTGCAGTCGTGTATTGTACCCTGAGAACGGAGCACGGACATGGATGTTCACCTTTTGTTAGTTAGTACAATATGGCTACATTCAAATTGCTGTCAAAGCTAAATACTGACTTGTCAGCGCATTTGAGTGAATGATGAGGTGAGCGATTCATACTATATTTTGTATATTATATGTACTGTCGTCACTTCTGCTACATTGTTGAGTTGCTATCACAGTTGTGTCTTGCTAAAATGCTTGAATATGAACAACTTATTCACACCATCTCCACCACCACCAGATATTGTTGTACAGTGAATTAAAAGTCTACAATCCTTGTTCTAGTTTAGTCTGTTTTATTCGTATCCCGATTGTTTTATAGAACGTTGTAAACAGACATGCGCAAAACAGCCCTGGCTCTGAACACCTCAATTGACTGCCCAAACAGACATGAAATGGCCAAAGCTTGTGAAAAGTGCAATAAATATCGACCAATTACTCTATATTGTCAAGCACATTCTAGGCGATTCTGCATTACACAACTACTGATATAACGAAGCTGGTCAAAGCGAATAGCCGACTATGTCGAATCCAATCTTTATCTCACAGGAGGGGTAATATATGCTTTTGTTACATATAACTGGACGGTCACTTGTGAGTTACACTGGAAGTTGTTTTTTGTCACAACTTCCAATATTGGAACAGCATGTCCCAAGCCTACCTAGCACTTGGACTTAATCTCCAAGGCTGATACTTACTAGCAACCAGGAACAACGTTTTCATTCTTTAACGTCGGCGACAGAATGTGAAATTACTGCGTGTGTTTCTTCTAAAGTAAGAATTACTCCCAGGTTTGGAAAATAAATTTTCTGAAAGGTATAACCTCCCGGAATAGCAGTTTTTATTGCCAATATAATGCCTCATAAATGACCTAATATGTCACTGTGGTTCCAATTTCGCCTTCCTGTAGGATCCGCAACTTCACTGAATAACTGCCTCTGGGAACCGAACTATTTTCTTTGAGGACAAGTTACGATTTCCCTGCTTCATTACGTGAGCACATTTCCTGCATGATAGGCTGTAAAAGCATGTCAAATAACCACAGGGAAGGTAAACATGCGTGTAAGTGCAGTGCTTGAAAAGCTTTATAAATGTAAAGTGCTTGCATTTAAACTTTATGAAACTGGACTTGAAGCGATTTGGTATAGTAAAGTTCAATTTACACAAACTCAAATATGCATCACGGCCATGGCCATTTGTGAAATGACCGCGAAGAAGCAGGCAGTCACTATGTTAGACCAAGCAGCTGGTACAACTGCCCTGATGTCCACAATGCAGAAATGTAAACGTTTGCTGAGTCGTTTTTCAATCAGACTTTTTATCAGTTTTATCTCCTTTTAAAATCCATTTTGTGACAAGAAGATTTGATGCCAAGCACGACAAGCGGATGTATATTGATGTATGCATTAAGTGCTTCGTGATGTTTCCATAACGCTAGTTGTGCAGAGTGATTATTATCCACATGTCATGGTTGCAATCTTTGTCGTTACCTGCGCCTTCAACGGCACTCAGAAGATGTATCTGAGCATTTCCCGTGTTGACGTTAACACAGACAGAATATCGAACTGGAAACAAACATCTGATAATCTGAAATATTGGCTCCAAGCGCGTTTTCCTTTTATTCTTTGAAAGTAACAGACAGACGTTTCAGTTGTCGAAGCCTTAATGTACTGTATTTGTTGAGTTTACGTTGTATTATCTGACAACGACAGAAAAGATATGAGTGATTATCAACTATTAACATGACTCATACGCTTATTGTGGAATGAGCTGTGTTACCCACGCAGTTATGAACATGTGGTGTGTGTACGATAGAGGTAAAACTATATGGAAATAATGCTGGCAACATGATCATTACACGATCTGATTGGTTTCTCTCAGCTGAAACAGTGGTACACCAAGTCAATGATTGAAGTGCGGTCGACAATCCAGTTACAAGTCCCACTTGGTCAATGACACGCGATTATCAATCCCTGCTATCTGGTCATGGTGTTCTCGAATGATGTGTTTGATTGAATCGTGCATTCCTCATACGGTGTCCCCATCAATGGATGATTGACATCCAACAGCGACATGACGAGATTTACAAAACACTATCGCAACCAAAAAAAAACCAATACGTGTGTCATGTTTTTTATTAAAAATTTCAGTCAGTTTTTATTGAGAAGTGTAATATAGTTTACAAGAGCTCTCCTCTAAATTTACGATATCTATTGGAATGTAAATAGTTTGAATTATTAGTGTTCCGAGCTGTCATAAAACTCTATTTACCTAAATAATAAGATTTACCTAAATAATAACTATATGAAGATAAATTACCAACTCAAGAAACTATCTGTATATGCACGTTGTGAACACCACCAGCCTGAAGAAAAACAACAACGGCAATAACAACAACGTTTTACTGGCGTCAGATTAAAGACTAAATCAGGTCACACTTCAGTTTTACAAAGGAATGGCGTTATGTCCAAGTGTTTGGTCATAAATCCGAAACCCTATTATCTTCAGTGAAACATTAATTTCATAAAACAGCATTAGTTTCACTCAAATGTTTCAATCTTTTGTTTCAAGTGTATGTGCTAGAGACAGCCTGATATCTATTTCTCGAAGTAATAGATGACATCAATTGTATTTCGGGTACATAACCGTTCAAATATAAGACATCTGCCTTATATCCCCGACACAACAAAATTAGGCTTCTTATCAACAGCCTGTAATCAGGCGACATGCCTTCTCATGTTTGGCTACCAACGCATTTGAGTGAGTGAGCAAGTGAGTTTAGTTTAAGGCAGCTTTTAACAATATTCAAGTTATATCACGGCGTGTCAGCTTGATGTGGGAGGAAAGCCCGAAGTGATGCAGGTCTTAGACGTTTGCCACTTCGTAGAAACCCACGAGCACGGGTATGTAGCTGACAAACCTAGAAACATAGTCGGGGCAAACCGGGATTCGAACCCACAACCATAGGTTTCTGGCGTGCCCAAGGGACACAACTTTGCACAGTGAATGCGGCGCCTAAGTCGCCTGGCTGGTCCACCCGTGCATCTGCCCCTCCATGATAGATATTCTTGGATGGTTACACAATGAGACTACTGTCTTTACTCATGAATAGGTGACCGCCTCCGTGGTCAAGCGGTAGAGTGTCAACCCGGAGAGGGGAAGGTCCGGAGTTCGATCCCCGGCCGCGTCATACGAAAGACGTTAAAAGATGGTACCCTACCTGGCACTGAGGGGCTATAACAAGGACTGGTCGGCTCGGAGTCCGTATATTGTGTCTGAGTGGGGTATTCATATTTAACTGCCGCATGGTATCTCAGTCGGCTAGCACTATCAAATCGGCGTTAGTCCTGACTAGTACAAGCATCTACACACATACACACACGTGCAGCGTCGCTATACAATTGTACTGCTCTTGGACACAACGTTAAACCCCATTTCATCACATGAATAGGTAGAATTTATGAATCTAAAAAAATAAGTCTAAATTGAGAAATTATTATTTTCTGTCAACATTGAATGGACAAAAAAGGAAACATGATACTCATACCCTAAACAGCAAATCTTGCAAATACCTTTCAAATTATTTTTTCCAACACCGTATGCTGTGATATCCAGTTCAGATTTTCATAATGTGGCATGCTCATGGTATCTTGAAAGGGCAGTTATTATTGTGTAACTATAACAGAGTACGAGCTGGTCTCGAACAGTTGTGTGCCAAAAATACAAAGAGCTATTAACTATTTTTCAACATGGTCCCCTTGCATTTCAACGTGTTCCACTTCTACTCCAGGTCAGTTATCCCTGTTTTGTAGAAGGTCACACCCTGGTCTGTCAACCAACCTTCCACAGCAACAATCAATGCTAGACGCTCATATCCAGATTCCCGTACAGCAGCAATTGCAACATGACTTGTGTGAATGTAACGTTATCCTCATGGAGAAGAATACCATCTCGAAATTTGCCGCGAGTCTCATTCTTATAAGACTCGCGCATTACTTTCAATCAGTTGGCATAATATTCACCATTCATAGCCGTAAATAATCGATATGGATTATACTCTCCCAAAAGAAGGTTGTCATTAACTTTCATAGTTGTTCTGGCTGCTTTAAACTACGTGGTTTGGGGAGAAAGTCTCTCCGCTCCATGAAGCTTTGCTTGCTCCCCAGTAATGACTCCAGATCGCATCTTCTGTCACGAGTCTACACTGAAAACATTCTGGGTTGCTATTATATCTGTTTAACAGGGCATTAGATACGCTGACCCGCACAGCCTTCATGTCATCCAACTGCATTCTGGAAAGCCATCCGTCACACACCTTTGATATATGGAGAGATGTTAATGCAGGATTGTTTCTATTGACCCATACCAGAAACCCGCTGTCGCCTCTTACTCTTTGCCTATTGTTCAGTACCAGGTTTGCGTGCGGCATCAATATTATCTTTTTATGATGCCGGTGTCGGGTCGACCAGATCTTCTTATCCCTCGAATGGCCCTCCATGGTGACAGAATGACAGCTCTATGCTCAGTTTGGTCTATGCCAATGCTAAGGAGTAGGGTACCACAGAACCGAAGTCAATAATTAAGTCATGGAACTGAAGCTCGCCAAATATAAGATAATTGAACAAAGCCAAGTGAGCACTAATATATGTCATACAGCAACCCAGATACGCCCGGCACCAAACTTGGGATAGAGATCTCCCCTCGCACATTATATCTACGACATTCACTACACTAGCTGTGCTAGGTGCAACGCCAAGAAATCCTTTACTTTGTGATCATTACATACTTATACCTTTTTTCAATCAGATCAGCCCAATATTACAGCTCAACACTGCACCATTTGGCTAACCTTAATATGAATACTCTTCATTTCATCTTCATATTCTGCATGACTGGAGACCCCAGTGAAGATCCGGGTTAGAATAGGTCTTCAGCAACCCATGCTTGTCGTAAGAGGTGACTAACGGGATCGGGCATTTAGGCATGCAGGCCCCCCTGCTGAATGGGTATAAAAAATCCACATCAACGGCTGTTCATACAGTTCTTATAACGGCAGTGGAGGCAGTGACAGAATGCCAAGATTGAATGCAGCTCAACGGAACAACGCCATTGGGAGATAGCTGGAGCAACTCAGCAAGAAGTGGCCAGGCACTTTGGCGTATCCAGACAGACAATCTCCGCACTGTGGACCCGATACAACAACACCAACAGAGTTGACGACAGACCAAGCTCAGGAAGACCAAGGGTGACAACCCAAGCACAAGATCGATACTTCCGGCTGCGTCACCTTCGAGACCGCACTACCACAGCCACGTCTACAACCGCACAGATCCCTGGGGTACGCAGAATATCAGATCAAACGGAACGCAACAGACTGAGGGAGGCTGGACTTTTTGCACGAAGACCTGTTCGACGTCGTGTATTGACCCCACGTCATCTGGCGGACCGTCTGCTTTGGTGCCAACAGAGGGTTAGATGGGCACGTGCAAGTAGGAGTGTTGTACTGTTTACAGACAAGTCCCGTTTCCTACTCACACCTGCTGAGGGGCGCGCACGTGTCTACATACGTCGGGTGAACTTTATGCCCCCAACTGTGTGAAGCAGGTTGTCCCATTTGGAGGCGGAAGTGTCATGGTATTGGCCGGAATTCATCACGGTGGTAGGACGCCTCTCGTGCATGTGGCAGGTGCATTGACAGGTGTGCGTTACAGAGACTTGATCCTACAGCCTTACGTTCTTCCTCACGTCAACGTTCATGGCGGACAGTTCCAGCAGGACAACGCTCGACCGCATATTGCACGTGTTTGTCAGGACTTCTTACAGCACAACAACATCCAGACATTACCTTGGCCAGCCCGGTCACCAGATTTGTCCCCGATTGAGCATCTGTGGGACGAGTTGGATCGACGCGTTCGCAGAAGGAATCCACCGCCCCAAACACTTCCGGCGCTTCTTGATGCACTTCAGCATGAATGGCAGCACATCCAACAGCGTGTTACTGACAACTTGATTGCATCTATGGGTCGTCGGTGTCAAGCGGTGATTGATGCACGTGGTGGGCACAACCGATACTGTCATTTTTCTGTACCCCTGTGACATTAACTGTATCGTGTACGTGTGTCTGTCTAGGTGGCACGATTAATGTTTTGAACATTGTGTACATTGATCTTCAAACAGTGTTTCAATTATGGTTTCTGTGTCCTATTTTGAAACAATCGCATTATATTACATTTTGAACGTCAGTGTCAAGTTTCTATTTTTGAAGAGTATATATATATATATATATATATACAATCATTTAGCTTTTAACAATGGTCAATGTCATAAAATGCTGTACGGACTGATGTTTCAATAAACCTTGCACAGTGTTAGAAGATAAATGATTGCAAAAATGTACAGCATTGTCATGAAGCATACCCTGATATAACTGTCAGTGAGTTGTGGCAACCGTTCAAAGTTGTGTTTGAACAGAACGCGGACAGTCAAATGTCCTGAAGCGTACGTAAACTGATCGAGACGGGATTTAAGATGAGACACGGCATATTGCAGTATTAACCAATTATATATTCCACGATTATATATAGTTCCCTGATTTAAAGACCACACTCATGAGTCTGCACCACCACTTACTTCGTGAGGCAGAGATTTGTTATGAATATGGAAAGGGTTTTGTCGCTAGTATTTATATCCATATACAAAACATTAATCAGATTAACCCCGAGTACATGTACATTTAATATAAATGGCGCCGTATGAGTATTGTAGTCACAAAAGAAAACAAATCACTTGTTTTGTTGCAGCTAGACCAGTGAAGTATAAGTAGGTGCGATATTTGGACTAAATGCATATTCCACCTCGATACAAAATTCCACAATGACAATATACACTATGAGCTGTCATCTGTTCCTGTGGTGGGGTAGACATGTTTTTATAGATCGGTTTTGTTTTGTTTGGTTGTTGGCAAGTCATCGCTTAACTGTACCCAAAAGCTTGATATTATCGCCTGATGTATTGGTGAAGTAGATTTAGGACTAAGAAGATCAGCCCTGTCAGAGTATGATCAGTCTAGGAAATGTATCTTTTCCTCGGGAAGGATGTACAAGTACTCTTTTTAAAGAATCTCAAATTTCAACTACAATTAAAGTAAAATAATGACAACACTTATTTCCTAATTATTTATGTGCAAAGTATCTTTGTAATAGTTTTAAGAAGATGCATTGTCACTAAAATGCGTCCTATCAAAGACAATATTTAGTTTGAAAAGGTCGTGTAGGCCCCAGCGCCGTTAAGATATATGTACATATTCTTGAAGAACTATAGTAGAAAGTCCCAACAAAAATAGAATCGAAAACGCATAGATATTCCTTCAATATCAATAATGTCCATTTCAAAATGTGTTTACAATTAAATCGTTACTGAAGATATAGTTACTGAAGGAAAATATATTTTTTATTTTGCATCTAACGAGGAAACACTTGACAGATCAGATTTGTTGTCTTATAAGATCATCATACGTTGCTACATAGATAGTTGTGACAGATAAACTGCACATCATAATTTTATTTATTTAAAAAAATACTGTTAGCATTAAAAACAAACAGAACGGTGTATCTTATTTAACCATGGCGGACTTACATGTATAGTACTGTCAGTATATACTACGTAGTGGTTGAAGATAAGACAATAAGCACCAAGGTATTAAGAGAACTTATCTCGCCTTATCACCAACACGGCCTTTACTTCAGGTGTCCGTTGACGTCTCATCAAGTCTTCAGACACACCGAGATCAGTCAAGATGATCATGAAGGCTGCTGTAATATTGTTCGTCACCTGTCTCTGGTCCTTAGGTAGGCGATAGACGTACATTCTTTGGCAACGCTAAAATATAGCACAATATATATAAGAAATATGTGGTTGTTTGTTTGAGACAGCCTAGGCTGACAGATGTTCCCGTTACATAACGTTCCCGTGTACGTGGTAACTCAGTAATTCAACTACGTGGCCTACTTATGTGACTGGCACTATTCGGCACGCAGATGTCGATGAAATATTTGATTGCTCATAATTAAGTACCTCGCGGAATATGACCTGTTCTGAGACCTTTGATCAAAATATAATGATGCACGTAACAGATCATTTCACATCATTTCACATATGGCAAGTTCACTGTAAATGTATGAAAAAGACGACGCTTTTAAGAATGGACACTAGAAAGAAGGGGAAGTAATGAATAGCTCCTAAAATCAGGATTATGATACTGACATCCTTTGCGAACTATTGCATAGAAGAGGTGTATGAACTGTGATTACTGAGGGAGTGAGTGGGTATGGTTTTACGCCGCTTTTAGCAATATTCCAGGAACACCACGGCGGGAGAGACCAGAAATGGGCTTCACACATTGTACCCATGTGAGGAATCGAACCCAGGTCATCGGCGTGACAAGCAAACGCCTTAACCGCACGCCCTGAAATATGATTTTGGTTTGTTGGTTGGTTTGTTGTTTAACGCCGCACTCAGCAATATTCCTGCTATATGACGGCGGTCTGTAAAAAATCGAGTCTGGACCAGACAATCCAGTGATTAATATCATGAGCATCTATCCACGCAATTGGGATCGATGACATGCATCAACCAAGTCAGCGAGCCTGACCACCCGATCCCGTTAGACGCCTTTTACGACAAGCATTGTCACCGTTTACGGCAAGCATGGGTTGCTGAAGACCTATTCTACCCCGGAATCTTCACGGGTCCCTGAAATAGGAAATGCGGGCTCTGTGTGGAGTGACAACATAATGAAGAGTGACAAAATTCAAATCAATGCTTTTGTTTATTTTGCAAGACACCCTCAAAACATTTTTTCCGTGTAATTATACTATTATATTCATAACCTGAATACGTGTTTAGCAAGGGCATTGCTTTTCTATTCATTTTTAATGATTTTAAGCACATAGATTTCTCTGCAGGACGATGCCAAGTTCCCATGGGTGAATTGCCGACCAAGGTCACTGCGTTTGTTCGACATGCTGCCACCTTCGCTGCGAACGAATTAAACACTCGGTCCAACGGAATATACTGGAATACGCTTACCCACATACAGAATGCAACTATAGAGGTGACCCTATGGGTGGATAGGGTTTACTGGAAACAATTATTTTACGGAAAGGGTTTACAACAACTTCTACAAGTATTTGCTGGACATTTTGGATGTCCTGAAAAAAATGAGAGAGAGAGAGAGAGAGAGAGAGAGAGAGAGAGAGAGAGAGAGAGAGAGAGAGAGAGAGTGTGTGTGTATTAAATACCACCTGTAAACATCCATATAGATTACTATCCTTTGTACGCTGTGATTATCAACAGGTGTGTATGTATTTCCTCCTCCAGGCCGTCATGGGGATAATGTACCGTATGGAGATCACCCTGCAAGAATCGACATGCAAGAACATCCCAGCTAACAACGACGCCAATCCCACAGCTTGCCCACCCAAGGCCGGAGCTATGGTAACGCTTGTTCATGTTATAGTTAAAGGGTCTTTTTTAATGGTAGGATCTTTTCTTAAAAAATTGCTACTATTCAGAAAACTCGTTTTGTTATTGAAGTTGTGAAGAAGCTGCTCAATATTGCGGAGTTTAAGTGGCTGGTTATGGAAACGGAATTGAGTGGGAGATATTTTGGTCACATAAAATGATTACACCGTATGCCCACCTATAGTGCACTTGCACTAAACTAGTTTATTACAGTTGATGTAGTATGGATTAAACATACTAAAAGGGGAGTTCTACCATGAATTTTGAAATTACTCGATTCTGATTGGTCAATCAGAGGCTATTAAATCACAATAAACCCCCTCTGATTGAAACAGCTGGTTTGACGGCCGCATCACCGCGGAAGCTTATATTCATAGAATATTACTATTTTCAGTCATTGTCGGTAGGCATAATTAAATAATTATATCTACAATTACAGGTTACAAAATGCACAGATGCGGTTACGACAATATTCAAAGGATGTGTGGCAATACATTTCGTGCAGAAAACACGATAGAAATCTACAAAGGGAATGTATTTACGTTTTGGAGACAACAGAGAGCTTGGAATTTTTCTATATACGACTGTGACGTCATATCGTTTGCGTCACAATGAGCGAAATGACGTCATAATGGTGACGCGCGATGTGGAGCGATAGCCTTGCAAAACTTGCTTTGTTTTCGTTAGGGATGCTTACAAAGTTGCCGTGCTTATATGCTTTCAATGCCTGGCATATATTCGAGCGAAGTATTACGATGTAAACAAACTGCTTGAGTATATTCAGCGCCATATTTTGTTCGGTGATTCCGTAATTCAGATCGATAACCCACTCAAAACACTGGACTCAACCCATGCCGCTTCACTCAGTATATTTGCTAACACCAAAGAGTTCGCGTTTTATTTAGTCATTGTAGAATGGAGATAGACTCCATAAATATGAATCAAATCTGATACAAGAAAATACAAGTTCTGTCTCTCCTAAAATTTTGTGCATTTGTCAAAATGACTTCCATGATAACCAACCGTAATCGATAACATATAGTCAAAATTGCCGCCCCTTTCTTTTCCACATTTTCTATTGTGGTTTTGTTACAGGATACTAATTAAGATATTTACCTGGCAGGGAGAATATCATGCTATACTGCCTATGGAAGAAAGTTAGACTATATTAATCTTACACCAGTGTTCGCTTGTGACGATTAAGAAATGTCCTTCAACTACTTACTTCGCACTTCACAATCTGACAAAGAGCGATCATTACAAAAGTGTAGTTTTCTTATGAACACGTGCTATTGATTCTCATTGTGGCCTTCTTGTGCCCCCACGTCTTACATAACGTGCTAACGCTACGGGATCAGTCATTTGTAAATCGGCTACGTGGGGAAAGAACTGACCATCCCCAGTCTTTACTTATCAACTCTGGATTGCAGTACATGTAACATTCACGTGCACAGGATTAATACATCCTTCTGATGTTGTTAATTTTATTGCAATTCGTTGTGTAGGATCGCATCCCTTAGGATCCCAGATTTGCCCTGATTATGATCCGTGGTTTTTCAGCACCCTTTCCGTGCTCGCGTGTTTCACAGTAATGGTAAACGTCTAAGAAATACATCACTTTTTTCTTCCCTCACACATTAAGCTGACATGCCGTGAAATAACTGACCTGCTGATCAAACCGGCGTGAAACTTACATCACTAATGTGTAGTTTTAAGATCGAAGTTTATTGTATTAAGGTTGAGTGATTTCTGTTTGACGCCACCATTCAGCATAATATTTTAGTTATATGAGGGATTGCGAGTTTAATGGAGGAGGATATCCATAAAATGACAATGTCGTTTCACTTTGCGAAAAAATATAGTCGTATGCCGGTGTGCTCCGCAAAGAAAACATGCATAAACCTACGTACAAATAGTGTGCCTGGTGGTCACAGTGGTATTGTACGCATAGCTAACCTCGGCCAACTCTAGAACAACTGCTGATAAGAGATTGCTATAAACCCTAAAGCTTGCATGGAGAAACATTTACGTTTCGCGTTTACGGCTCCGAGTAATCTCTTGAGTAATAATAGCTTCTAGACAAAACAAATCGGCTTCTCAATATCTTTAACTTTATGATCTTCAGACGATGTCTTGCCATGTTGAAGTGTTGGATGATCCAGGATCTACACCACGCTACACACTGAAGAACAACCACTGTGTGGCATAGTGCCATGTAACGCCGCTATCCACCCATACAGGCAGAAGCTGTTAGCCATCATTGACGTAACCTTGTCTCAATTGCACTAAGCCTTGGAATAAACATGTCGACAGGCACTAGAGTTCTAGGATCTCTGAATGAGGCCTTAATCTTGAACATTGAACATGCCCTCGAGGACATGGTGGATGTTCTTTGAAGTTTCTGCATGTGTAATAGTGGGAGAGCCAATTGACCGAATAGTTCGAATATAGATGTTAAACAGATCCTGTCTGTAATGCCACATGTATGTTCAGGATAGTGTAATAGACACCGTAGGTGGCAAGAGAGGTGGGAACACAGGGCCTTGTGTCCTTCCTTGATCACTGGAAATGCTTCTGTACCGATTCTGTTCGCTACCCAAAGTACATAGATATATTTTATTGCCGCTTCCCAAAATCTCGTCTTGCGAGCCGGAGCGTGAGATGTTTATCACACACACCATCGAGTGCAGGCAGTGAGGCGTATGTACACAGCATTAGAACCGATTAGCTCGAATTAACACTGAATTGTATTCCCTTCAGCAGACGAGCCACACATGTTCCTAGATGCTTTTAGAGATTGAATGAATTGATCATTTACCTTGAAACTAGGTTTCATTGACGATGTATAGGTTATGTTGTAAGAAATATTCATCCACTACTGGTGAATGGATGACGGCTTATCGCCTTTGACATGTCCTTTGGATATGAAACATACCTCTATGTGCGTTCTTACTTTAGTTACTGTTACTGCACGCAGGCGTTTTTAACAACAACCCGGAGTGTGGCTTGTGTCGGCTTGTTTTGGCGCGTGAATGATCAGGAACCAGTTTTTAATGTATCTAATGACACAGCCAAACGCTTCCAGTCATATCACCTGGGTCTGTACATGATCAAGTCTAGGCAAAGTAAACACGTGACATGTCACTGGATTGTATGGCCCATAACTGGTTTTCATGTCCATTAATGGATTGGCTGATCCATTTCGGGATTGTCTGGTCAAGACTCGATTGTTTACACGCCGTCTCGTGGGAGTGCTGCTGTGTGGCATAAGGGAACAACTACTTGCTTTATTCAGCACAGTGTGTGGGTGGCGATTGCTACCGGTAGACAGTAGAACAGAACATGCCTACCCTTGTCATGCACCTGGCGTCATCACTGATCGTCGTATCATGCTCACCACTACTTTGCCTTCTACGCCCACTAATTGTCCTCTGGCGTTAATGCTTATACATTTGCAAGACAATTGAAACCTAGAATGACACACACTTAGTCAATGTGCTCTAAATGGTGGATGGCTTAAAACAATACTTTGTCAGAAACAATATATTTCATATGTATCAGCTACTGATAACGTATATAGCTTGTCTGGTGTCCTTGGAAGTGCAGCCAATATCTACTACGCACGCGAGTCCTGCTTTTGAAAAACAAGAACCTCGTTACTATTCATAATAAGTTATAGTCATGGAAAACAGACGACTGGCATTATCGGAATAGACCATATACAGATGGACGTTATATTTAGAAAACCATTACATACAACCGATATTTAACTCACGTCGTAATTACATGAATAACATCACACCATGTAAGTATTTTCGGAATCAATAGAGAAATCTGCACGTCGTTCTGGTTATTATGTTTACATTTGTTGGCGCTAGTGAGTTTAACGACAGCGAGATAATAGCCTTGTAATGCGTCGTTTTGCGTCAGTAAATGTGTATCGCGGAAATGAAATTTCGGAAACAGGTGATAGTTTTCCAATTTGAAATGAATTAGTGCATCCAACTTCCTACGGCTTACTAACTTCCACGAAGTGATTATTGTCTATATTTGCTCTCTTTGAGACTGCATGGTATATGAAACGCTAAATGTTCCTCTTAAGTAAGGCTACCTATCAATAGCGAATGCACAATACATCTGTCAAAACACTGCACAGTGTTACCAGGCGTATACACCTGCTGCCTTAAAACCCCACACTGACTAGAAATAGACCACAAGGTGGCGGTGTTTCAGTTTCGAACAGTGACTGACAATGTAAACACAACCGAGTGTCGGGAGAAGCTTTTTGAAAACTGTACGTGATCACCATTGACCGTCAAACTTCGTATCAACTTGAATGACAAACTTTGGATACCACAAATGGCTCCATATCTAGATATAAATCAATCAATTTTCTATAGTTTTATCATAAAAAAATCGAATCGATCGTGTTTGGCGTCTCCATCAATCACAGTGGGAGGAGCTTATTTACGTTTGCGCTATAAATAGCACATGGTCATGTGTACATGTGACACATTCAATGCATTTGTGGTCAAAGTGTATTGTGTTGTATATGTTTACGGCAGAACAGCAGCAGAACAGCAGCAGAACAACCGTTTCTGTTAATGTCACAGCAACGATACATAAATACTAAATTGACAACAAGATTTTTTCTGTTCAATCCGAAAAATAAAGATATTTGTTTAGTATTGGTCATTTGCATTCAACAGTAATCAGATTATCTTTATAAAACTTAAATTATTCCACAGATTTTTCAACTTGTGTTTAGAAAGAGGCCTAATTTGAAGCACCAGAAGTTGTGCCAATATTCCTTAGCCTTACAAAAATATATGAATATGTCACGTGTATCAAAATAACAATGCACATAAGCAATTGATAATTAAGTCACGAAATATACTAGATAGTTTGACCTACATGAAGCGTATCTAGATAATATTGTACTTACGATAAACAAAACCTCCAATACACATATTCGAAGACAACTTTGATTATGGTTTGCTGAGTTCAAGCCCGTGTAGCGCCGTAATTTCCGGCCACCTTTTTCTTGTTTACCTCAGCGGCGCAGCATAGAGCTGACATTTGATGGTTGTTTTAAAATAAATACGAGGTGTGTTGACCACAGATGAACACAATTGTGTAGCCAGTGGTTTGTTTAGCAAGTTCCAATAGGTTGAAATAAGTGACATTCATATTTCATGCGATATCGATCTGTGATTCGAACCGAGTGCGAAATCTTGAATAAGAACCAAGATGGCGGGTGTCACTCCTTGTCTCTATGTATATAGAGGGGTGTGATTTTTTTCTATACGAATATATTATGTTATACACGCTATCATCGAGTTCCTGTGGATTTGGATACACTTCGTGCACAAGTTTTACTTTGCAAAACACCATTCCTTTATCTGCTGCAACGTTTAATATCCGTTTCTTCAAGTCCGAATAGCTACGATCTCTACAAACACTTCGTCTATTTAGCTTAGTCCAGAAGTATTGGAAGCAATGTTTACGAATCGACGAATTTTTGCAACAAGGTGGCCGCACCATTCCCAAACTGCGATTGCCTGTGCTGTGTCACTCATGGTTGAACATACATATTCGGCTTCATCTGGGTCCAAAATGAAATTTCGCTGTGATACTGATTCGCTCATCCGAAGAATCGGCACTGAATTTGTCAAAGTTTCTGATGCATTTGCAAAGGCGGAGGGAGAGGCGCCATCTTGTCGATTCGAGTTGACGGTCGGAATGTCATCATCATGAATGTTTTTTTCTCTATGATAAAGTCGCCAATGTCATAATCGAAATAACCCAAATCCCCTGATTACCTCGAGCAACTCTCCGTCAAATTAAGCGTCACACGAAAATGTTTTGTTGCTCATATTTAAGACAAGCGAACTTGCAAAGTTCTTGACAAATGTCAGCAACTCGGACGTGGTCATGGGGCGTGGTTGCTAGGAGATCGCGTGGTCAGAAAGGGGGAAAACAAAAAGTTTTAGAAAGTAACAAAGAATAAAAGAAATCCGCAGTGCAATCCAAAAATACCATGTACAGGATGTTTTTAATAAGCGTATTCACGAAAACATTTCTTTTCTAAAAATGCAAATTAATTCATTAATTCATCCCAAGGTCGTAACCCTGATCACGTGGGTGGGTATTGCGAAGGAATCTTGTGACGAAGACGCAAATGTGGCTGTGTGTATTACATGGTGGAACTTAATTGACCAGGAAGAATGTCGAGGCCTCAACATCATGACAGATCCTCGTCATGGATCGAGTAAAAAATGCATCTTAGAGAAACATTGTTACTTTGAGTTTCGAGACCAATGATCCGAGTAGCCAGCGACCTGAATAATTTTGAAGAAAATAATGTTGAAATCCATGTTCACGTACATGACACACTTGGAGTTAACAAATTTATTCATCGGAACATCGTTTCGAAGTGTGTGAAGTATATGTATGTAAATTTGTACAAATCTAATAAAAGAAATTCTAGTAGATCAAGATCTACCATTGCACCGTCATGAAAGAACAGGTCAACTTTATCCTTCTTCAGTTATTTCCGAAGCAAAGCCACTCGATTTACATCATAAATTAATTTATAGACTAAATTCTAGTACAAAGTGTTTTAAACTATTTTAACATGTCATAAAATAACACAATTATTGAAAAGCATTTGGTTTAATAAATTACATGTTTTATTTCGTCCGCCCGCTCTCTAGTTAGTTGAGGTTTGAGGTTAGAAACACATATAAAAAGTATGGATGGCCTTATGCAAATGACACATGACATGCCAATCAACAGGAAATCTGGGACCCACGAAGTTTCAAGGATCGAGTGACTTCGACATCAGGAGCTTTCGGACAAGTGTGACTTTGCCAAAACACATTGCTACATGTACTTGGCAAAGAAAACATGTGGCAGAAACGACAAAAATACTACTTTCAATACGTGAACATATTTTTGACCATGACCAGGGTTTTCACAATCGTTGTTATCCAGATTCCAGATGAAGGCAAGACGAATTAACACAACACTGTTGAAATCACCGATTGCCATGTATATTGTGAGAAATTCATAACTACAAATACACCGTGCATCACAGGATCACGGTTGGTGCCGTTGAACATAGTATGGTGTTTGTGTTCATAAACACTGCTTTTATTCATCACGACAAACGTGTTTCGTTCTCGTCCAGAGAATAGGGCAGAACTAATGTGTGTGTTCTGGAATGAAAACATAAATCGTGGACATTCCACAGTGTTATTTTATGAAGATGTGAAGACATCATGGCGGGTAGGTTTTGAAACCAAAGAAAAGTC